TTCCATACCTCACCTGAAAATACTGTTGAAGCGGCCCGAAAGAGGGAGATCAAAGGTCGATCACGTTGGAGTTCCCACTCCTTCCACAGCTCGTCCCAACCCTGCCCTTGAGAACAAATGGATGCTCGTTGCTCACACGAAAAATCGGGTACCCCCCAGGAGGCCCGTCGCGCGGCAAGAAGGCAAAGTCAGCGGACGAGTCGCGCGCGTACTATAGGGATTTCGCGTCAAGTTAAATGTCCCATTGCACGTCCTACATCGCACACCACGCGCTGCAACTCGTCCGCCGACTCTGCCTTCTTGCCGCGCGACGGGCCTCCTGGGGGGTACCCGAAAATTAACTTGGACTGTGCGCAGGAAGTCGTCGCGCGACGTCGCGCGCGCTTGGACTTCGCAATTGCCCCTCAAAGTGCGCTGCGCCTGTGTCGTACCTTGATACCGTTTTTGCTGTGGAGCTACAATGGAGGCGCGTACGCGAATTTGTGTACGAGATGTGCGTTGCTCACAAACCCCACCACGGGCAGCGAGGCCGTCCATTGCCAGTTGGCACGCAAACCTGCTTCAGTCGTTCGCGACGTCGCGCAGTGACCTCTCGCCCACCTGGTTGCGTTTATGGGCCACGATTTAGACAACGCAGCGACTTCACGATTTGATGGCTCTGTCACCTCCAAGGGTCTAGGCGCAGTGTGTTTCCAAACCATCACGGCCCATCTGATTCATATCCTAGGTAACTCGGGATCAATCTATACGCATAAGAATCATTACTATCTGTCAAATCTCCACCATAATCCCTTTGTATTCTATTTACTCAATCTGGGGTGCGATCATTCCTGATAGCTTTCCAATGTTGAAAGTAACCACTAGTATGAGGTGTGCGGCAACAGATCCCACGCAAGTGTCCCACATGGGAACGTGCACAATTATCACAATGAATCATACATGTGGAGTGGGAACTACATTTTTATGGAGAGAGAGCAGTTGAGGGCAAACCACTTATCGCCGGCTGATCACAGGGGACAGTCTCTGTATCGGTTTTCTGTCACCGAGAGATAAACCAGGGCGACCGAAAACCGGATTCTAGTGATTGTTCTTCAACAGTATCAATGGAAACCTACCATCCAATAACAGGGTATGGGGGATAGGAAAGCGTTTGCTGAAAATAGCTGGGAAGGGGCTCGTGGGAGAGGGCCACTGAACTTAACCTTTACGCTGAACGTCATCGCCGGCTCGTGGAGGGACCACTGAAGACCATCCTCTACGCTGACGACATCGCCCTGATAGCGGATAGTAGAGAGGAACTACAGGCCAAGGTGCAGCAATGGCAGAAGGTCCTGGCAGAAGGTGGGCTACGGCTGAATGTCAAGAAGACCAAGTTCCTGAGCTCCGAAGAGGGTGCAGAGCCGATCGTGGACGGCCATGGTGAGACCATCGAAAGAGTGGAGGACTTCCGCTACCTTGGAGCAGCGATCTGGCGCAGCCGCAAGTAGTGTGGATCAGGCGGTGAAGGCTCGGGTCAACGCTGCATGGATGAAATGGAGGGAGTCCACTGGAATCCTCTGCGATCGAAGGTGCTCCAGAACGCTCAAAGGGAAGGTGTACCGGACAGTGTAGGCCTGCGATGCTATACGGCAGCGAGTGCTGGCCCCTGAACAAGAACCACGAAAGGCAGCTCCACTCCGCTGAGATGAGGATGCTGAGGTGGGCCTGCGGCTGGACGCGGCTCAGAAACGAGGATGTCAGAGCGGTCATGCAGACTGCCCCTGTCCAGCTGAAGGTGCGAGAGCAGCGTCCTGCGATGGTATGGGCATGTGCTAAGGAGGCCACAGGATCATCCGATAAAGAACAGCGATGGACTTCGAAGTGCAAGGCAAGCGACCGCGAGGAGCCCCAAAGAAGAGGTGGAGAGACGTGATCAAGAAGGATCTAAGTGAAGTCATGGCCACAGCAGAGGACGCCCTGGACAGATTAAAGTGGCGACGACTGACAAAGACAGCGGACCCTGCGACTGCGCGGGACTAACGCTAGGGAGAAGAAGAAGAAGAGCTGGAAACGAAGCTCTTTTCGTTGCATAGCAAGCTTTATTTTGGTTTTCTGTGGGAAACCAGCAAAACCCGTCAAAAAACAATGAGTATCATCCTTTTTGTTCAAAATGGACCGCGATGAACTAGGCGTGGTTACTTCAAATTTGAAAACGGAATGAGAAAGTGGGAAATGGACCGAAGGAAAAAATAGAAAATCGCGAGAAACTGAAATTACGAGTTTCTTTCCCTGGCATTAGACGGAACTACGAAATACAATGGATCTATTGTAAGAGACAATAGGGGAGATGAGAGGCTCGGCAGCGAGATAACATAGGGGACACGCGAGACGCAGTCACCGAGGCATTCGTGACTGTGAGTGAATGGATTGCATGGGGTATGTCTGTGAGCCGGTGATAATCCTCTAAACCTATAGCGCCTTTCCCATGCAATGGCGCTGCAGCAGCTACCTCGTTCACAAGAAGGACAGTGGAGTAAGGTGTGGAGTGAACTACTCGCGATTTATCTCTAACTTTCAGGGTGCGTAACCGGCCCACACATACAGGTGGAAGGGCTGTATGAAAAGGTTAAAGGGGCGCTGATCGCAGCGTGCTACGGCGGGCATTGGAGTATTACGATTTCGAATCGGCTCGAACATCTATTTTTATAGAGAAGATCAAGCCTTGAGTCAAGGAGTAACTTCAGGGTGCATGCGCAGCGTTCATTTTCCCGCTTTTCTTTCCCATTTTTCCACTTTCCCATTTATTTTCTTGCTCCCTGCATAGGCTTACTAATAGGGGAGCCCCCACCCAATCATTAGCGATAGCGCCCTTGAATGATAAAGCATATTGAGGCGGATCAGTCTCTTCCACCAAAGCGCGCTTCTGCTTCATTCCGATCCAGTGGGACCACCATGTGTGGCAGGTCCATGAATTGAATTGACAGGGGTATTCGATGCCCCACTGAGAAAGATGGATTCCCCATTTTGATTTCCCCAGGCCATCGAGTTTTCCCTCGGCCCTGCGCTAGAAATGGGGATGACTGCTCCCACACCACGTACGAAGGTGGCGGTGAGCTATGCTAGAATGCATAATCAGAGCTGAGTGAGGCTGAAAGATGGCCTGAGTTGTGCAAAAATAAGCGCAAGCACGACCCGTCGAGTATGAGATCCGAGGTTGGCACAGGCCGAGAAGGAAGATCTGCCCATAAGTTTGGCACTTTCTCATGGTTAGATCGGATTGAATGGTTCTCTTTTGGTTTTAGTCGGTACCACAACGACCCCGCTTTCCCCGTTCTTCATGGCATAAGTGATCAATCAGCGCAATCGGCTGATTCAACAACGATATTAATGCGATGCTATCACGTCATTTCCATTCCATATTCTACTTCGAGGGCGATAAATGCAACGAATGACGTGAAGATACGTCGTTTTTGTTCAGCAGATAAGCCTACCTCTCGTTCCTACTGGGATAGGACAAGTGTTCTCGCCTCGTAAATCATGTACTAATCAATAAGTCTGCAAATGAAACTCTCCTTGCACCAACAACTGCAAGAGCAGGGACCACAGACTGCGTTTTGTAATTAGTCGCTCTAAGAATTGCACCATTCATCCTAATCTTCTATTTCGAGGGTCTGACTATAGTTGGTTTCAAACTGGTAGAAGCAGTAGACGGATTCAATCCTGTTTTCCAGTATTACTCAACAGCATGGTGCAATGACAGAGTGCGCGCCACACTTAGCACATGCACTGGCCGGATGGATGGAATCCTGGAGCATAAAAGCATAAAGGATAAAGCATTTGCCGTTGATCAATCCCTTTTTGGGATGCGGCACGCATTCTACTTCCATTTGTACATTCGTAGTGGCGTTTGAATGCGATGTGGCCTATACAATGACTTGCGGGGGCCAGCCGATGTACAAGTCAGTGTTTTTATCCTCCCAGACAAGTCTGGTACCAATTAACCGACCCCGGAGGGATGGAAGGCTTGGTTGGCCCGGGCGACTCACGACCCAGGATTTGATCCCCGGACCGCTCGCGTGGTAAGCGCGCCACTTGTCACTACACCACTTCCGCCCTCAGAGATAGCTCTTGCCAGAGCATACTCTTGCCCAAAGCATCCAAGGCTCCCACACCCCTCTGGGGTAGGCGAATCGCAACCAGGCTCCAGACTTCTATATCGGCTGGTTTCTTTGAACACAATTATTCTGAATCGAATTTGGGTACGCGGCGTATCCCAGAGAAAGAAAATGATCATCGTCAAACAAGAGCGCGCGGCACTTCAAATCGGACGTGTTTTGTTTTTTGTGCCGGTGATGATACAAGGGCAGTCCTATTTGAGACTTGGGCAGGCGGTGGTGGTGGGGGGGGGGGGGGGGGGGGGTCGTGCTGTAGTTGGAGAGGATGGCGAAGTGGAAGTGTGCCGACAGAATCGTCTCAGAATTAAATTCTATAGAAACAACGACAGGAGTGAGGTGTATAGTCTTGTGTGGGGTTTGTGACGCCGTAGGGGGGGCAGATGGTTGCATGAAGAGGACTCCAAGGCTAACGGTGATCTTGAACTTTTCAAATTGGAGCAAGGGACGGGTTACCCTTCTTGACGCTGGACAACTAATATGTGTGGCATGTTGACGCGGTTAAAGTGAGCAATTACTCACGTAAGCTCCTCCGACAAAAACCTCACATGTGGACCACTCACAGCGGATCTCCAAACCCCTTCTAGCTCGCCGTCCTTACCAACGCCGTCAGGAGCGTTCGCTCTTACGAAGCTTCGTTTTCTGGGCGGGTAGTTATGCAACATAGGATCTGCGGGCACAACAAATACTATAAGGTAATGGGATTTTTAGTGCACGATATCGCTAGGCTTCGGATCGTAATAAGTTCTGAGACCTATATCCATTCTAATAAGCCTGCAATCCTGAATATGAGTTGAATGCATGGCGCACCCAAAACAATCAATTTCATATATTTTATTCTTCGTTCTCATGGTCTGTAGAAATACAAGCAATCGTTTCCAGGGAGGAGGAGCAGGAGGAGGAGCACCAGGAGAGAACAAAGAGGACACCACACAAAATGAGAAAAAGAAGAAAGGTGTATGTATTATGAAACTAAATGACGTCATTATGTTTATAGCAAGCTGGCTAGTCGCCACTTTTTTTAGGGAACTGCGAAAATCACATCAACGGCAAGAGGCAGCAAAGTTCCTGTTCTATCACCAGAAGTTGAAAAAGTCGTCGAGAAATTTGTCAAACATGCGACAGAATCAGGTGTGGCTGTAAAGGGATAGAGGTTCTGCATAGGGTGAGCTCTTAGACGCGCCACGCATCCCACCTTCGGTAGGAATTTCGGAGGATTTCTCATGCTTACCTTGCCTATAGAATAAGTAGCGGGGCCAAGCGATGCCTAAGCGGCTACTGTCCAAAATCTAGAGCATCGGACCAGAATGATGAGAAGACTTCGATTGGCTACACTGGTACTAATGGGCGGTACAGCGCCTGCTAAAAGCACTGCTCGCGATTCAACTGGGGTGTTATTTCGCTCGAAAATTAGACAAGCGTGAAGAGGACTCAGTGGGAGCAACAAGCATCATATGGACAAGTGAGATCTCTTGCGAGGTTAGACCGTAGTACGACGAAGAGACACAGCGCTCCAGAAAGAGACGACAGAGGAGAGGGAAAACTCGAGTCGCACGCTAGAGCGCGCAGACGCCGCGCATGCTCCGATCGATAAGAATGGCAGCAGGTTGCAGCGCCGTCAGCGAGGCATTAGCTCCTTAAGGGCACTTTCAGAGTAAGACAAGGAATTAATAAGAGCCCACTGCCGTGATAGGTGTCGATAAATATTTCAAGGTTCAGTTGCGACCCGCCCCACCCTTTCAGCCACTGCATTACAAAGCAACTCAAAGTAATCACAGTCGGCGCGTAAAAGGACGCAGCCAAAAATGCTCACGACCACTTACGCACAGCTTGGCACACAGAGTGTCAGCGCATAAGCATGCACTCATGCTAGCGCGATCGTGGTCTTTTTGCGGTCGCCCCTGCCTTCTAGGTTACATTTCCAGCCTGTCAAGTGGGGCACCCATTTGATATTTTCGTTGAAAAGCCACCAGCACCAGGATAAAATTGATGTTATAAAAAGTGCCCATAATGAACGTAGCAGGGTGGGGTTGACAAGCGGAAAATATGGCCCACTAAGGAACCAGCAATATACCAACACACGTGCGCGCACTGCGTGAGCTAATCAAACCTTGTTATTGCCTTTGTAGCATTGGATTTTGCGTCACTCTCTACCGTAACTAGTGTAGTTTTGTCTAGGAATCGAAGCACTACGTGCAGAAAGTCGAGAACTACTGGATTTACGGCCGCCACCTGATGCCTACAAAACCTTCTCCTCGATGTCTGACCGTAATCGATTTCCGGTATGTGCTTAGGATTAGGTAATGGCTCTAGCTGAGAGATAGTTTGAAATCACTTACCATAAGTTCTGCAAATTCCATAAGCGCCTTGGTACATTCTGTTTTGGACAATTACTCACACGTGTGGTTTGTGGACTACCAGCGCGTGCGGTCGCGAAACGGCTCGTCTTCCAGAGTCGATGTTACTGCCTTCCTGAAAGGATTTAGAAGATCAGCAGTATATTAAGAGATATTAGCAAAAACTGAATGGTGATTGTTACGAATTTTGATCAACTGTTTCCAATTGCATTAGTCCGAAGAGGCCGCTTTGCGACCGCCCGCATCGGGTGACCCACAAACCGGAAGTGATCAAGTGTGACAACCAGCAGGTGTGAATATTTTTCAACTGTTCCAGGAGATTCAATGCATCGATGAGACTCGTATCATTCTTGAACAGAATGAACCCAATAGCAATACTTACATCCATGCCAACAGAGTCAAATTGGACAAGGTAAGTGGACACCGCAAAGTAAGTATTCCAGAAGCGATTGCCGAATGTGCTCTTGATAAGGCCCGACAGCTCTTCGCAGCCTCTTAGTAATAGTCACCACGTGAGCGTTGTAGCTGGCTCTGCTAATACCTGAAAGTCTATGGGACTCAAGATGTTGTGCCAGAGAACTGCTGGCTCATGAAGAGCCCATGAATGGCATCCATGTAGCCCTCATGCAGTCCACCACTGCAGTCGCGTTGGTGTCTGCGTCTCGCCAGTCCCCTATGGTCTCTCGCCTCGGAAGTCTATGTGTCATCAAAAGTCTATAAGAATGCTCGATTAGGGAGCTGCATATCGCAACTGCAAGCATTTCGTGCCAGCATTTTCAAACGGGTGTGATAAACAGAACTGAATGTGCATCAATCGAGGTGCCATTAATTTTGCTGTTGCAGGCTGATCGAACCTATCTTCTAACCCAAGGACCTAAAGAGAATTCAATAGAAGATTTTTGGCGCATGATATTTCAGGTGGGCTTTCTGCGAAAAAAATAATTTAGCTGGATAGGAATTTTCTCGATAGATATTCCAGGAACAATGTGCTGGCGTTATAATGTTGTGTAATTATTATGAGGATGGCATGCAAAAATGTGAAGAGTATTTTCCGACCGAAGGCGGCGGCTACAAGTACTATGGAAAGATGTTTGTTAATAACAAAAAAGTAAGAGTGCTACATCTTTTTCAAGCAGTTCTATAGCTGCGGACGCTAGCAAATCGCTCAACTCGTAAAGTCTGACATCGGCCTTAAAGGCAGCGATTACGATAAAGAGGAGCGCATCGGGAAGCATATGCACCACACGAATCAGTTACTTGGCTGCCAGGGAAGCGAGGTGTAGCGCTTTCACGACGAAAGGTTCGCTGGTTGCTGAGCAGGACTTCGAAAGCACTCCGCCCCCAAAAGCGATCCGCCCCACTAGTCTACTTGGTGATTTGGAACGAGCAGCGTTGTTGGCAGCGGCACAACTGGAGCAACTCGAATGGAGTGTGGTTTGGCATGGTGATACCGAATGCGTTGTGAACTCGTTCAGACGCCCGCCAATGGGGTCAAAGAAGGGTCCCATTCTTTTAATTTTCCGCCGCTTTTTTTGACGGGTTTCTCAGATTTTTTCGCCACCAACGTACCACTGAGCACCACGACGTCCCCTCTGAACCTTCTTGAACCCATCGTAATCGCTGCCTTTAACGATCTATGTACATTCAAAAGTAGGACGTCAATTAAGGTGGATCATCTCGACCAACATGACATCTACACACTCGAAATTCTACCTGATGGTTGTTCGAACTCGATTCTTACTCGATTAGCTCACTGTACAACGTGGCCCGACAAAGCCGTGCCAAGCAGCGGTCGGATGGTTCTTCGTCTGTTAAAATGGATGCAATCACTTGATGCGGTAGGTAATTTAGCAGAGCAAACCGACAGCTGGAAGAGAAAATTTTTGTTCAGTGCGCCGCTGTGGCAATAGTGAGTGGTGCTGGTGTTGGGCGAGCAGGCACGTACATCGCCATAGATCAGGTCTGCAACCGATTATTCAAATTTGAGCACGGGGAGCAGAATCGGGCCTTCGTTGACCATCGGTGAGCATATTCCGGGTTCTTTGTACTTGTCGATTTTTCCCATTGAAAAAGCTGGTTTCTATCCGAGACGTTTAGCTCATTTCCAAAGAGCTATGTCCCTGAAGTGAAACAAGCACATGCAGCCGCGTACGGTTGCGTTGCGGTTCGTGGTGGTTTCTATTCAATAGTCATGCGCTATTCCTCACAGAGACCGCATTTTCCTTTTCCGGATTCATAGAAAAACCCTAACAAAAAGAAGCGCAACACAACCGCCCGCGACTGAGTCTGTCAAAATGCGTGCCCCTCTGCTGGTAAATTTTTTAATGAATTTCAGGTAAAAGAAGTAGCGATAGAAATACGTAAACAACGTGCACATGCCATCTCGAATGAATTGCAATACTTTTTCATTTACTCAACAGTACTCGACTACATACGGGTGATTTTCTCTTCTCATCTATCTGTACTGCAAGGGTGGGGTCGCTCTAATATGACAGAAATACATAGCGCTCTTCACGCGTGGCCATTAGCCTCAGCCTGCTTGTGACTTCTGCATGCTGAGCCACACTTCCTTCATTTGTCTGAGCTCCAGCCCTTGCGGAGACTGATGAAGCAACGGCCCTAGATCAAAATGATGGGTCACAGCCGTAGATAATAAAAGCAGTTGACTATGAAAAAAGCAAAGTACCGTTAGTGAAGACCTTAACAAGGACCCCCTCTTTTCCCCTTTAAAGTGAGCAAAGGGAGTCTGGGCGAGTTTACTGCATTTGTTTGCCCATGGCTTCACTAGCCCGTGCGTATTTTAGCCGTACGTAGTAACTCATGGTGCGTGCGCCGGGGTGTGCATGAGGTATCTCGTCCATTAGCTCACTTTGTAAGGCTCTAGCGCCATTGTCGCGCACTTTCGAGCCGCGACAACGGCACATCTGTGATACTCGTGGCTACTCTATCCTACCCACAGAATAGATTGTTCAACACGAGCTCATCTGGGATTGTTGCTTCAAATAATTTCTCGCGGGACTATGGCCAAAGGCCCAAACAGTCCTCCGCGAAAAACTGGGCCATCTCGGGAATGTCTACAGGGGGGAGTCACATTAATATTCTCCGGATGGCGTCGCATTACTGGTTTTTGTGTTGTGGCTGTGGAGGGAGGGTCGTATTCGAGATTTTCAGGTGGATCGCATTGTAGTGTATGCGAGGAGAGGTCGTACATGAGTATTCTTCTCTCGAATATTCGCGAAACCCTCACAAAAAGCCGTGAAAATTGCGAAATTGAAGCGGCTTCTGTCGCTTCAGTGATAGATGTTCTCCCAATGTGCGGTTGATTAAGAAGGAAAGTACACAGAGTTGGAGTTAGCCGACTGTTTCAGAGTCAGCTGCTATAGAAAGAGCTGTTGGGTGAAGAAAGAGGTATGGAGGGATCCCTTTGATGGTGCTAGTGAGGGGGGGGGGGTGTCATGAAGAGCCCATTAAAGAAAAAAAGGGGGTGGAGGGATGAGGTTGTGGCAATAGCAAAATCAACACAACGTGGCGGTTGGCGCTAGTCGCAATCATTGCGATTCATTACATTTGAGCGGCTACGTAGTACTCGCTTCTACGCTACCGTACCATGCAGTGCTGGGTCCTTTCAAGTCGAGACCTTCCCACCCTTTCACCCCAGGAAATGTCCAACAGATGGACCACACTATTGAACGGAAACAAAGTAAATGGCAGGGCGCAGCTAATCGACTTCCACCTCATTTTATCATCCAATGATGTTGCTGGAGTCTGCCACTCAAAAGCACTAAGCGTCGGATAGTTGGGACCGCTCTGCGTCCGCACGCGTTAGATATCGGCGATTTTTATCTAATCATAAATGTTAGACACAAATGACTACTCGAATGACAAACTAATGCGTCCTAATTCTATTGAATTCAGGCGAAAATTCCGAAATACCACAACGTCGTCTCGAAATTTTATAGTGAATTGAGTCAGGCAATATAACATGTCATAGATACATATATTTAATTGAATAAAGATTGACAATTCTTGGCAATAAATTAAATATCGATCCTTGGACAACTGCCAAAGGCTGACTAGTGTAGGGTTTCCCGCGATTTCTACTTGAGTAGGTCGAAATCCGTGTAGCTGTTGTGGGGAGGGAGACTCTGGGGGAGGGGAACGAGAAGTGCTAGCGCAGCCAGGAGACCTTTCACCACCAGGTTTGATCCTAATTTTACCCCTCTAGGATTAGGCAAGCACTCGTCCTATATTTCCTCGGAAACTAGGTTCATGCAATAATGTTTTTGTTTTCATTATCCCGCAAAAATAGCGTCATTTTTGTAAAAGAAACTATAGGACGACGTTCGTCGATTCTTATGACGTCTCCTGACGTTCTAGCAGACGCTGCACAGCCTTTGAACCCGGCAGCCGGGCAATTCTGCACTACAGACCCAACACACAATTGACGACGGCCTCCACGTAAATCTGATAGTAGTGTTCATAGTGATAGCTGATTTTGACAAATGATAGCTGTAATTAGTGACAATTGATAAAATACAACTGCAACGGCTAATCATTTCATTCCCAAAAAACTCACTTACAAACAACTTATTATTTTGTGGAGGCCGCCGTCTGGTATGTTGTATAGTCTGCACTAGACACGCACCTTTCCGCGTGGTAGAAAGGGCAGCTTGGCTGTCTACCGTATTCGAAAACTGAACGCACTCCTTCTTCCCCCTCCCCCTCAACTATGTTGCTCCGCTTATAGCAACTATCACCATTGAAACAGTCTGATTTCTTTGAATGAATAGACAAAAAGTGGAATGAAATCCAAAAGAATGCATGAAACACGAAAAATGACGCTTTTCCAATAAGGGGGGGGGACAGGTGGTTTCTAGTGCAGAGCACCCGAATTATTTAAACGCTAACCGCCACTAACATAGCTATGCAAAAGAAACAATTGTAAAAAAGAGGACGAGAATTTCTGCCTAAATCTTGAGTGGATGAACTCAGCTTCTGCATGACCACATCGTCCTCCGGAAAACGACCAAAAAATTTCAAAGGTTACCTGAACGTCAGGGAACTCGTCCAGTTCACCAGGAATAGAGAGCGGTCGAGGCGGAGCATCAGCATCAGCAGGAATCTAGTGAAGAAATAAGCTCCGCGGCTGGCCAACGTCTTTTCTGCCTGATTGTACTTGGAATCGACATGAGGGTGATCAAGGTTGATTACGGTGAGCGGAAGATCACATGATGAACGATCTCGTATCAAGTAAATGAAATTAAATTGCTTTTTTATCCACTTGATCTATTTTGGGTGCGCCGTGCTTTACTGCCGTTCCCGGAATTAAGAGGACTTCATATGGGTTTTATGTGAAGACTCGCAGTTCAGTGCCTACGAATTTTAAAGGAATCTTGCGCGGAAAAATCATGATTCTATTTCAGCCATAAATCACTGGCTTGAGACTCATTATCCACGATAATAGTGAAAAGAACTGAAGTATTGCTTTCGTTTTGATTAGAAATTCGAAAACTCGAAAAGGCTGCTACGCGTTCGAATTGCCACGGACGTCTTTCACGAATGCTGGCGACGGGGATGCTCAAACTTGGTTCTTGGAGTGCATTCACTAGAAGCTCTTTCTGGCCTTCTGCTTCGTTGCATTCACATCTTACACTTCTACTCCATCCTATTCCATCGATCGATTTGTCTCCACTCTCCGAAATCGCGCGCTTTAACCCCGATTCTCTCATTGCGTCGCCTGGTACGTAGCCGGCCAAACGCCGTCTTCTTTCCATGCCTCGCCTGGCTCTGCCTCCTGGTCCTTCGATGGTCCATAACGTGTAGTTTTTGTACGTTTGTTTCTCTTCAGAAACCGAATCTTCATGCGTGAAACTTTGTGTGCTATTTCCAGTGATCACAACTGACATATTCATGTTAGGAAAGAGTGCAAGAATTTTCCGCGCAAGATTCCTTCGAAGCTAACTATTGTCGACTTCAAGTGCCACTGATTCTTGGCACCACTATTTCATCGATTCCCACATAAGAACCAGAAGGAACGAGAGGAATAAGGCTTGAAGAACAGCGAAATAAATTGACATTGCATAGATTTGATCTCATGGGCCATGAGGTTCTTCGTGGCGCCTCTAGACTGCCAGCGCTAGTGAATGCCTGCTTTTAGCTTCAATCGGTTGCGAGGGTATTGTTGAAGGTCTAATATCAGAGGTCTGGTTGTTTCAAGGTACATTAGAGTACCATTTCTACGGGCACTCCTTTAAATCACTACAAAATTCTAAAAATTAACGGCTCAGTTCCTGGATTTACCTACCCGGGTCAAGGCCAACCAAGTCCTTCATTTCTTCGGGTAAACTAAATGGCACCAGACTTGTCTTAGAGGATACATCTGACTCGTACATTGGGTGCTGGATCCCGCAAGCCATTGTAGGCCGCATTGCCTTCAAATGCCACTACAATTCTGAGTGGAAGTGGATGCATGGCGCATCCTGAAAAGGAGTGCACAGCGCCGAATGTTTAATATTTTGGTCCTTGTCGTGACTGCGAGAAACCGTGACGACTATAAAATTCCATGCCTTCAGCCTCGCAGACGAGTCTGGTACCAATTAATCGATTCCGGAGAGAAGTTGTAGGCTTGATAGGCCTAGTCAGTATTCGATCTGATGGTCTGCCTCCATTCTGGGCGACATGGCGCACGCCGCCACTTGCCACTACACAATCTTCGTTCAAAATACAACAGAGATTTCAATGTACTACATCTTTATTGAAGCCAACAAATGTGAAGAAAACCGAGGGTTGAGATTTCGGGTAAAATATACAAGGATCTTGTGAACAGTGAATACAATACTACAAAGTCTGTAGCACTTGATGATAATTATGTAGAAACACTGTGTGGGGACTATTGCAGGCCTCCTAGGCAGAAGTATAAATAATTCTTAGAGAAGTGGTACTACCATAAATAGCTTAGATACAGTAACTACAACCATAAATTCAGATATGCACTGAAATCAGGCACATTTAAAGAAATCGTCGATCGACTCGATTTGCAGCACTTGCTTCGATGGCATGTCATAATCGGAAACCTGAAAAAAGAATCTCTTAATATTATCTGTAATATTTTGCCAGTTGGCTTCACGCAAATTCAAGCACGGCGCGCTGATGTAGTCATCAGTGCGAATAAGAGGTGCATTCGGAGTAGATTTAGGATTTTTAGCACCGCACAATCAGGAAATCTTCTGTGACCTTGGTTCCATTCATGCGCCTGCCCTGAATTCACTTGATTTTGGCTCTGAGCCGAACTTAGATAATCGCCGCAAAAATAGTGATTTTAGCCCGCCCCTCATCTCGAACGCCTAATCATTTCTTTCGACGCCTTCCCTATCTTGCTGATATCCTAACTGCCTTTTTTGGGGCCTCTAGGGACGTAGTCCTGTGAACCTGAAGGTGTCTTTTCATGTAATGTAAAAGGTCCCCAAATCGGACGCGCTCCACACCGTTGTGGTGCGGAGTGTAGCTCATCCTTGGGCGTTGCTGCTCGTCCTTCTGTTAGCCTTCTTTCTTCTGGTCTTTGACGTGTGATTATGAAGCCGGATTGGGAACTCGCGCATCTGCACCGCCCGTGTGTTCCATTTCCTCCCAACCGTCGGGCGGGCTTCCGCACCGCTGACTTGTCGCAGGAAGCAGGAATGCATCTTTTACATGTGGATGGAGTTATGCCTTTAGCCCCGGTGGTCGCCAGTTGAAGGTCCAAGAGTCACCTTACATCCAGGTGCTTCTACCATCACGTTGAATGGTAGCTTATCTTCAGCACGGCTCTGTGTTTCAGAGCTACGCAGTCTATGCAGCGCCAAAGGTAGCGAACTGAACTTCCGAGCAACTGTACATTTCATAGTTATTGATCAGAAGTTCTGATTCAAAACTTTCAGTCACCAATTTCACTTACCGTTTTCTCGTCGAACATCCAGTATGCCTCCTCGCTTTTCGGATTTTTCGGAACACCAGATCGGAGCTCATCCGGAAGATTCGGGAAATATCGGGTCTTGTCATTCAGGATAGTAGGCCTGTTGTCCAACACGTTGTACGTGGCAAAAACATTTCCCTGAAATTGGTCAATACTGGACTACGGTAAAAGATAGGGCTACACAGCACTCCACATAGTTCGGAAATATCCTTCGTATCCGCGCCAGGTCTGTGTCCACTGCAGACCACACAACACAAGTGACGACGGCCTCCACAAAATGTAAATGTTTTCTGCCAATGAAATGATTAGCCTGTTGCAGTTGTATTCTATCAATTGTCACTAATTACAACTATCATTTACCAACTATCAGCTATCACTATGAACCACTAGTTATCAGATTTATTGAAGGCCGTCGTCACTTGTGTTGTGGAGTCCGTAATGCAGACTACCCTAGTCTCGGACAAAAACGGATATGTTGAATATGTGATCTAAGTGGTACAATCGGGAAAACAAAAAGGAAAAAAGGTAAAATTCCTTACCGAAAGGAGGATAATACTTCTATTGGTCAACGGGAACGCAGCTTGTGGGTAAAATAACACAAGATTGTGCAACTCTTTTGGGTAGCCACGAGCCTCACTGTAAAAATACATATCGATTGATGAGTGCATTGACTTGTCCCATTAGAGTTTCGATTTCTGCCAAAATTATTGAGACGAAATTTTAACATATCGCGGGTGTGAGGTGCGATTGGTCGAAAGTTACTGACTTGCGATCGCAAACGAGCAACTCAGGTAAAGCGCTACCGTAGGATACTCATAATTATTACAGTTATACTGTATCA